CCCCAAAACCCCAAAACCCCAAAACCCCAAAACCCCAAAACCCCAAAACCCCAGAGAAAAGAGAAAATATAAAATGGAGTGTTCTCTTCCTAATGGGTAATCTCTAACCTAAATTCCCTGGCTGAATATTAGGAATTTTAAGCCAGAGGTTAGACCCAATGGAGCATTATAGACCCAGAATAAGGCCAATGACTACGAATCCCTCTTAAGTCCTCCCTAGGGCTCGATAGATGCGAAATATTTACTCAGAAATTATTGTGCTTCAGTAGATTGCTTCTTTTTAGAGTTAGATTTTCTCCTCTTATATGGGACGTATTCAACGATCTCTTGCTCCTCTTCCTCTTCTTCAGGGTCGACCTTCTTCCTCATCTTGTTGTTCTTGTCCTATAGAGAGTGTTATTGAATAAACTCACGATCTGCTTCTCTCTTTTCTCCTCCAATTTCTCGAGAATATGTCCTTTAACAGTTTCATCAGTGATGAGGTCAACGTGCTTCTCGAGTTCTCTCTGGATATTGTTGATTTTATGCTCCTTGGCCTTCTCCATTCTCTTGTTCCAGAATCTCTTCTGCCTGGCTACCTTGATCTCATCGATTCTCTTCATGGCTATGGAATGTTAAGGAGTTGTAAGCATGGAAGAACGTACCTTGGATGGTCTTGATCATCGTGAACCTGTTGTACCTGACTGGTTCATTCCTCCTCTTTTCAAAGTCAAGCACTGGGTCGTTTACCATCTCTTTTCCTCTGGCAGCCCTGCTTGCTTTGGTCCATTTGAGCTTACGTGGGTTCTTCTTGGCTTTGAACAACTTGTTGCACTTTGAACGGCAGAAACGGAAAATTTTACTATCGTTCCTGATGAAAACCATCCCGTGACCTGGATAAATATTGCTTGAGCAGAAGTAGCACTTGTAGATCCTCATATTTGATATTAATTATAACAATATTTTAAGATGTTTTCAATTAATAGGCTTGGTGCTGGGGTTTTGGGGTTTTGGGGTTTTGGGGTTTTGGGG